ATGCATATAACAAAAATTAAAAATAACAAATGTGCTCACACAAAAATACGATATATTTAACTAATAGTACTAAACTTTATTAATAAGCTGTAAAAATAGGGAAAAATAGAGTAGGCAGAATATTACGAATCCCAGAAGATCTCCAAGTCAAAGATTTTTCTTAGTTCGAAATTAAAGTCGAGTCGTCTCTTGCTTAGCGCCTCGATTATTTTGGCTCTGCTATAAAAAGCACCTACCTCTGGCTAACTTGTGCTCTAATTGGATTCCGTTAGCCAACACTGAACCAGTTATCGCACTGCGCGCGCTCACAGCTGATCGCCTAGGCAAGTCACAACGTCTAGATGTACAGTAATCAGAATTCGATAAGAGCCGGTTGGCAAATTAACATTTTATTATTATTTTTATTATCAAAACACAGTTCGTTAACCCCTGCCTGCTGGCTGGGCTTTTATTGTAGATGGGGGTACGCCAAGACGATGCGTCGTTTATTGTGGAACGTGTCTGTGCGTGTGTGTGCCTCTCTCTCCCTCTCTTTCTCTCTTACTCTCTGCCTGTGTGTGTGAAATAAATGTTATTTGCATGCAATATAAATTACGCGCCTCTGCAACAACCGGCCCAGTTCGTTCTACTCTGTCGTTTGGCCATCACGGATCATTAGAGAGCGCCAAGTGCAGGGCCTGGCCGTGTATCCCTCTGCTATTGCTTTAAAGTAGGGTACACACACAAATGGCGGGGGTGCGGCTTTGATGTGTGCTCTGCGTTTTGCTGCTGCGCTCAAAATGCGGTATTTTTATGTGGGATTTTTCTTCTTCATCCTCCCTTTTTGTTGTTGTTTGTGTGTGTGTGTGTGTGTGTGCGCCAAATGCGCGTGCTTAATTATACAAAATGTGTTTCGCGCTCGACTTAACAGCCAGTGATTTATTTTGGTAGCTCGCTGGCGGCATTTGTGAATGATGAATTCATTTGTGTGTGGGTGTGTGCAATTAAATTGCATTTATTTGTTTTTGCAATAATAAATGTTGCTACGCTATGTAAATAAAAGTTATTTTCCACGTGGATCACATGTTATGTAGCAGGCAGTTGGATCATATGTTAACATCGCTGGAAAAGCTGTTTGCATTGATAACAGTATGTTAAGTAACAGTCATTTACTGAAGGATCTTTGTGGCTGACATTAGAAACTTTTATTTTTCCGTTGCATTTCATGGTAATCGCACTTTAGTTCTTAATTTGTGGCTTGGGAACCAGTTGCGACCAATTGACCATCATCAGCCTAATCACAGTCCAGGGGCCAAACACAGACGCCGTTTGTAATTGCACAATTTGACAATTTCATTAATTGCGTTTAATTGCTGACGTTTTCGAATTGTGTTTCACTGTGCTTTTGTTTTGCCGTTTCTTAATTGCAATTTCTGTTACAATTTCATTTGTAATTGTTGTTGCTGTTGCTGTCCCCGTTACTGTGTTTGTTGTTGTCTTACGAACAAGCCGCCAGCCACTTGATGCGACCTTTGTGAACGCGCCAATTCATTAATAAATTGCTCAAACAGCTTCAAAGCTTTTTATGCCGTTATCAAATTGCTTGCTCACTTGTCGCCGGGGCTGCTCGCCATGCCCACGTCATCCCAGTTGGCCAATGTTGCCCATATCGCTTGATTTTCGCCGAATCTGGTTCTCAATTGTAATTGTGTGTCGTGTAGCGGAAATTCTGGCTGTTTTTGAAAGTGTTTTAGCTTTTTTCTAGTCTAACAACAATGTAAAAGTGAATTTGAATATTTCATTCACGAAGTAGCTTTACAAAACTTGACATCACTGCGCAGAGCGTAACTAATCGAACGGAACGGATGCATTGTGTATGCTCTTACATCTTGGGTCGGAGCTTTTCATGTGAAATTGACACAGATTTTCATCAAATTAATTGCTGTGAGGCGTTTAAAGTGCGGCCTACTCAACAAGCGTGCTAAAGTGTGCTACAAGTGCTACGAGCACAAACAAACACGCATACGCAGTCAGTGCCACGCCTACCGCTGCCACGCTTATCAGTAGCCATAAACAGCTAGCAACAGTCGCTCTTATAAAAACTTTGCTTCCGCTATGCTGTCTGTGCCCGGAGCACAGTTACAAAGTGCGGCAAACGAGCCAACCAGAGAGAGGCGGAGAGAGTGAGCGAGAGAGTGTGGGTGGGAGAGCATGTGGGGGCGAGATGTTAAGTGAGCGAACGTCGTTTCAATTTATGACACTTTGACAGCTTTCCGAAACACTGTGCGTCGCGCTGTGCGAATTTTAATTAAAATACAAAATTTAATTTACGCGCACTCTGCAGCGTAGCCAAAACTTTGACTTAATGAAGGCAGCAACAAAAGTTTATCAGCGCACACAAACACACACACACAAGTACATGAAGACAAAGTGAAATGGAGAAAACACGATAAACACAAATCAAAGCAGCAGTTTACGACGGCGCCCCCACACACACACACATACACACATGTACACACAATTCATCAATTGCTACTATTGCCGCTGGCCCTCTCTCCTCTCTCGCTCTCTCTACCTATGTTGCTCTCAGGGTGTTTACATTGGGCTGCTAACATTGATGGGGCCAAACTGTTGTGCTGGCTGTTCCTTCTACTTGAGCATTTGCTGATTGTTGTGTTTGCCTCAATTACTTTGAATTGAATTATAATTAAGTGATAAATGTGTCTTTATTAATATTGTTATCGTGTTAATAGCATAAAACCAATTAACTATTAACACTGATTACATGCAATAGAACACTTATTGTTTATCTATCTATTCTCTTTTACTCTTACATACTGTTAGCAGTGATTAGCATAAGCTGATGTTAATACTTCTTATTTAGCAGTCGCTGATTAACAGTCATTGTCTAACACTTAAAACTTTTGCTTTCATGCAACGCCCTGGGCTCTACAGTGGCTCCGGTAAACATTCACACCCAGTTCATATTTGACACTATAATTAATAGTGTGTCAAGGTTTTTGCTCTGCTTTATTATTTAAAACATGATTCCTAGTGAAAAATGGGCATATTAATTACCGTTTCCTATGCAAATCAACATATGAATCATATATTTGACATAATCACAATTGTGTTGTTTACAGCTTTTTATTTATTTTTGCATTGAATTAAAAACTGCGAAATGCCAGTTGAAATTGATTAATTTGAGTACGCATAACAGTTTAAATGTTATTTGATTAATAATTAAAATTGGCCCTTTAAAGGACTTTGTGAATAAAACATTTGCTGATGCATTACTCAAAAAGCTTTTGTGAAAGATTATCATAAAATACATGGTTTTACTGCACACAATTTCAGTTTGGGAAATTATATTTTTGTCGTAAAAACCATATCTTTAACATATTCGTTGAAATTGTGAAATGCCAAGGCATTTTTTTACAGTGCACACATACTTGAAACTCGTTTTGTATCTTTGTTATTGAGTGCATTATTGACAACTTGTCCTGTGCCGCGCACTGAAGGACACTCTGTTGGCGCTGCAAGCGCTGCCTGTCATTTGCCACTTCGTTTTTAGCCCTCTTTCGTTTCGCTCTGCTCATGCAACTGCATATTTTAACAGGTTCGCCCTTCCACCGACCTCTTCTCGCTGCCACGCCTCGCGCCCACTCAACAAGCTCTTGACGTGTGCGTGCATCGTGTTATGGGAAACTGGTTTCGAATGCGCCTACCCTTTCTCGCACACTCCACTCACTCTCCCCCCTTCTCCCTCTCTCTCGCTCTGGCTCGCTCTGCCTCTGTCTATCTACATATCTAGGCGTAGCTTTGGTACTCGTCGCACGCCTTATGAATGATTCAAATGCATGTTATGTGCGCAAAAAGAAAAACCTGACAAAAAAAAATACCGTTAGCAGTTGTTGCGCTTTTTGCTATACCCTCGCGCATTAAATCTCTTACTGGGTATATCTGATTCTTCTTGTTGTGATGCCTTCTGTGTAATCTGAGTCATCCAATTAACATTTTGCTTTACTGTTAACAAATATTAACATAGCTTTCTGTTACGGACATGCAAATAACAGTTTTGAACATTTAACAGTGTGTGAACACTTAACAGTGTGCACTGTTATTCAGTTTTAACGAGCTCACCGTAACAGTAGCCAACATATTTAGCATGCTGTAAACAGGCTTTCAATTGAAATATGTTTCGAATAGGGTATGCTCAACGTCCATCACTGTTCGCTGCAAAATGTTCACATGATTTCAGATGCCTCTGACATCTCGTTTGTTGCCGGTCTCTGTTTGTTAGTCTTAACGTTGTTGCTGTTGCTGCTGTGGCATTTTCAGGTGCGCTGCGACTATGACCTTTGTCAATGGAATTCGGGTTCGAATCTTTTGTTCATTTTTCATTTATTTGCCTCTCTCGTAAACTGCTTCGCAAAAATGTTTTGTCGGAGTAACAAGGATTTTGTGGCTAGATCTGACAAGCAAAGGTATTTGAATGCTTGGTTTTTTTTCCTTATTGCATTTATTGGGATATTTGCAAGCAAATGCAGATTTTAATGGCAGATTGTTGACTTAAGAATATTGAAAATTGCTGCTACTTATCGCATACAAATGCATCATGAATCATGCTTTGAATCATCCACAGTGAAATTTCACTTGTGCGAACAGCAGCTTATTATCAGTTTTTTTTTTACTGTAATAAATATTGCTTTTATTTTTGGATCGTGAAACGATTTATGTTTTTAATTACATACATGTATATTTTCCAATGAAACTGTATTCAGAAAAAGAAAAAAAAAATCGCAAATCATTTATCGTGTCGATTTCGTGTTTAACATTAATCAAAAGCGTGAAGTGTTTGTTGTTGGCCGAAACTCGCAATCCATACAAATATAACTTTCGGTTTTCAACCATATTTACATACATAAATTATAATTTTTGTATGGTCATTTTGTTGTTGTTGTTGTGTATTGGATTATTAAATAATGTTGGTTTTTGTTTCCATTTTGCTTTCTTTGCAGTTGAGTAGTTTCTCAAGGTCTTTCGGTGCGTGCGGAAGCGAGGAATAGTGGCAAAGCGGGCAGAGGGGAGCAACATAACTGGTTGTGGGGGCATGAGCTGGCCGAGGCGATACTGGAACTGGACGCCGTCTCAATGGAGCAGCAGCAAGCAACTGTGAGAAGAGGATGCGACCAGAAGGGCAACTAGTTAACCAACAGCAGCAGCAGCAGAAGCAGCGGCTGAGATCTTGCCTTGTCCGTGCGTAGCATGAGACAGAGACAGAGAGAGCAACAGCTCCACAAATGTGCCAACCAACCATAGTAACAACAAAAACAACAACATAAAATTCAAAGCAAAATCAAACTAGAAAAAAGACAGTGGGAGAGAGAGGGAGTTCACGGCGCGTGTCAAACAATAAGTCTGATAAGAAAAGTTATACACTGTTAACATACGATAAACAATAACAGCCACAACACATAACATATCCTTCAAGTTAACAGCAGAGTGGCCAAAAGAAAGCAAAAACTCACTCAAAACAGTGCGCTGTTAACATGAGTGCCGATGCACACAGCAATAAATAGCCACGCAAACAGACAGAAGCTGACTGCTGCCAGATAAACTGATTGACTGACAGAAACAAATCAAATTTGTCGCACGCAACACAAAATTTACAGTTAGTTCTAACAGCACCAACAGCAAACAATAACATTTTAACAAACGTAGTTAACATGACTCTGCAAAGCTTTACACGCAAAATGCGCGGACGCATGCGCTCAAACACCTGCCGCATCGTGCTGCTCACCTCTTTGGTGTGGGTCATATTTGACTTCGTGCTCATAGCCCACTATTCGGACTGTATAGGCAAGGATGGCTGGCGTTGCAGGCGAGCCGGCGAATACGATGTCGAGGTAAGTAAATGCTATTTAGATTACAGAATTACCTATCTCAGATATCAATCTATCATCGTCTTCCCTCGCAGCAGCCCAACGCTGAGCGTTTGGTGGACGACAATCAGCTGGTGAATGATAATGAAATCAATACGGAAAAATCATTGGATGCCGAGGATAGCGCTGGCATTGCGCCCATTATGGGTCAAGGCTTCGTCTCTGGCGGCATTTCGATGACCTATCGCAGCGTGGTGCTGAAAAAATGGTTCCAGGCGCCCACGGTGCGTGAATCGCGTGGCAAGCCGGGCGAGATGGGTAAACCCGTTAAAATACCCGCCGACATGAAGGATCTCATGAAGGAGAAGTTCAAGGAGAATCAATTCAATCTATTGGCCAGTGATATGATCTCATTGAATCGCTCGCTGACAGATGTGCGGCACGAGAAGTGAGTGCGCCGTTGAAGCGCAAGCGAAGTTAGAATCTATTCATCTGAAATATTTATACCCCATTTTAGTTGCCGGCACAAACACTATCCCTCAAAGCTGCCCACCACCTCAATTGTGATAGTATTCCATAATGAAGCGTGGACAACGCTGCTGCGCACCGTTTGGAGTGTCATCAATCGTTCGCCGCGCTCCCTGCTCAAGGAGATCATACTGGTGGACGATGCCAGCGAGAGGGGTAAGCTAGCGGTAGCCGCATCTGCCATAATTCTCATATATCTAACGTCTCGCCTGCTTTGGTAGACTTCCTGGGCAAACAGCTGGAGGATTATGTGGCCAAGTTGCCAGTTCGTACATTCGTGCTGCGCACGGAGAAACGTTCCGGCTTGATACGCGCACGTCTCCTGGGCGCTGAGCATGTCACTGGCGAGGTCATCACCTTCCTGGATGCCCATTGTGAGTGCACCGAGGGCTGGCTGGAGCCTTTGTTGGCGCGCATTGTTCAGAATCGTCGCACCGTGGTGTGTCCCATCATTGATGTCATCTCCGATGAGACTTTCGAGTACATTACCGCTTCGGATTCAACGTGGGGCGGCTTCAACTGGAAGCTCAACTTTAGATGGTGGGTTTAAGTAGGCAAATTTCCTGGATAATGATAGTTATTGTGACACTTGCAATTGTTACTTTCAAGTAGAGAAATCGCCAGTTCGATTCAGCTGACAGTGTGAGAAGAAATTTAAAATAGGTAGTTCTATAGGTAAAATCACATAAAAGCTTCACTTTCCCATCTGTTTCCATATTATTATGAAAAGCAGCTTTTACTTCGATTGTGCTTGATGAGCTTGATGAAATGATATTAAAGCCTATAATTACTGTGGAAGCTTCAGCGTGAGAGGAGGAAACATGTTAATATAAGCCTAAAAGCTTTAGGCTATGCTATTTTACCTTTAAAATGAACTTTCATTATTTAATAGACTTGAAGACTTCCACGACTAAGCTTCTACTATGAAAGCACATTACCCCATCAAATGACGGTTATTGTAAAGAATCAACGCAGTAAGGGCATAATGTTTTGTGCTCAAGTTTTGTATTAACTTAAGTCTAAAACTTCAGCTTAACTTTAAGCTGGTGTCGTCTGTGAGTTTTATGCCTTTATAACTTTGTCTAGCAGGATTAATTAAGCATTGGACTTGTGGCTAAATCTAATTGGATTTGAAATTTCTAGGTATCGTGTTCCACAGCGTGAGATGGCCAGACGGAATAATGATCGCACAGCCCCGCTGCGTACACCGACAATGGCTGGTGGCTTGTTCTCCATCGACAAGGATTACTTCTATGAGATTGGCTCCTACGATGAGGGCATGGACATTTGGGGTGGCGAGAATCTGGAAATGTCGTTTCGAGTAAGGCAAATTTCCATGCAATATGATCTTCTATGGTTTTTCTATTCGTTCTTACAGCTACAGCCAAGCCGCAAAAAAAAAATGCAGAAAACAAAAAACAAATGTTGCCCATTTGCGTACATTAATTATCATAATTATATTCATTTTCTTACTCCTCATTTAAGTCACAGTTATTGTTTTTTTTTTTTTTTTTTTTTGTTTTTATTTTACTTCGAAATGAAACGATAAATTGAATTGTGAAAAATATTTCTAATCACAACCAACACACAAACAACAACAATCCATGACAATTCCCAGATATGGCAATGCGGAGGCATTTTAGAAATTATACCCTGCTCGCATGTGGGCCACGTGTTCCGCGACAAGTCCCCGTACACCTTCCCGGGCGGCGTTGCCAAAATTGTGCTGCATAATGCGGCGCGGGTGGCCGAGGTATGGCTGGATGAGTGGCGTGATTTCTATTATGCAATGAGCACAGGTTCGAAAATATTTAAAAACCAAAAAAAAAAAAAAACAAAAACAACTAAAAATCAAAAAAACCAAAACAAACTCTCTACAAGACAAGAAAACAACATAAACAATAACCGACTTTACTTACATAATTATCTAGTGCGCATCTAACACCTGAATTTGATTTGAATTGGCTTTCACTTGCTACTAAAAACAAACATTGAGAAAATGGTATTCTTCGGTCTGCCGAAGCTAAAATACCCTTGCAGACATCTAATATGGATTCTTGAGCTGTTTTCCGCCAATATTTCACAGTTGCGGGTGAAATTTTTAAGAAAACCTAAATTTATCCAATCGAAATTTCATCTACCAAATTCTTAAAACCCAATTCCACCAGGAAGGAAATACTTGAGACCCAATTCCACCAGGGAGCGCCTTCTTGAAACCCATTTCCACAATGATTTTGAATTCGATCGGATTGAAAATAAAAAGATAATGCAATCTCTTTCTGTGATTTTTCCACACTTGTGCGTGGAATTGAACACTAAATGTTAAACTACAGGTTTTATAGTTTATTTGTTTATATTAATAGAAACAAATTTATATTTATAGGCTCTCATAGAATTTAGAAAATATCCAAAAATGCTTTTTATAAAACCAAAATTAAACTCCCACACAGTTCTTGATATTATAGCATTGTGATCCAGCTCAAGGGGTTTTACCTAGAAATTTGTAACAATTTTCATGGAAATAAGTTCCGACTTCACATACACATATAATCTGCAAGGGTATATCCAAAAAGATCAACCAAAGCTCGATTTAGGCTCTAGAACAAGCTACTAAAAACACTAAACACAAACAATTGACTTTATTTTGAGCATAACAAGAAGCATCAAGTTTTCTCCAACATTTAAACTATATTGTAAAAGCAATTTGTGTTAACTCTTGACTACAAAATAATATGTATAATCGAACTATATAATAACTAGCTAACTATATACAACATGCATATTATGTAATGTAATGTAACACACAATATGATACCAAAAGCTAATGCCACTGTCGTCGCTTATCCAAAATGTCGTTTAGCCCATTTACAAGACTAATCAGATGTACGCACTGGCATATGTTTTATTTATTAATAATTATAATTAGTGTGCTACTGATTGTATATTTATTAATTTTTTTTTCTTCCATTATTAACGAGACTCTTCTAAATGTTCTTGAATTTTGTGCTCATGTCGAACGAGGCGCCGGCAACAGCCAAGAGCGTCATTTTGTTATTAACTTATAACTAACCAAAACTATATATGAAAACAACGACTAAAATAACTAAAACATATAACACGTTCAAACAACACGCTCACACACATATATATATAATAACGAGTACCTATCACAGTTGTATTGAAATGTTAACACTGAATTTAAGCTAAGCTTAACGTACATAATACTCGTTGCGTTTGATTTAAATACGAATTGGCAATTAATTTAAGTAATTTAATTTTTTCATTTTTAAGTTGTTACTAATATGATTTTTTTTCTCTCATCTTTACTCGCTACATAACATGTAGGCGTCTCTCGTTGTGGGCTAGGATTGTTGTCGTCAAGCACTTAACTCTGCTCCTTAAAGCAATGCACTTGATTAAAAAGTCTGCTTGCAAACAAAAGCTATGCTTTAAAAATATTTTCTTAACACAGCTACTCGTTTTTAAGTTTTTATGCTAACTACTACTCGTTGGAGGCACTCGTTACTTACGTCAACTACTAGTTGTAGGCAATCGTTACTAATGACAACTACCTTTTGTAAGTCTTCTTGCTTACATCTACTCATGAGCCTCATTTCTATTGCTGTGGATATTTACTCGCTCTGAGGCTTTGCTCCGAAAATCTCGCTGCTTCTAAATTCTTGCAAGTACAAACTCTTATGGACAACAATTCCCTTAGACTTGTGTTACAATTATTTCTATTGTAAGCAAAGTCTGACTCTGAGCAAAGTCTGTTTTAAATCACTCGCTATAAGAACTCGTTACATACTATGAATGCATATAAATAACTATCGCTACTTAAGACAACTACTCGTTAATATTTAAATCACTCGCTACTTATTACTACTCGTTACAATTAGGCAATAATAAAATACGCTAAAGGACCAATTCGTTATTATATGTAAGAGTAGCCAAAAGACAACTCGCTAATTCCCTTAATCGCTGGAACTATTCTCCGATTTGACTTAACAAATTATATCAAGTGTTAACCTAGTCCAACTCTGTCAACCTCTTAGCTATCAGGGACCGCTTTACCCAAGTCTTGTTATTGCACAGCATCATAGTTTGCGCTTGGCTATAAAGTAAATCAGCACTCGATCTATATATGAATTGATATATATATGTATGTGTATATATGTGTACATCTTTCTCTGCCTTCTTTCGTCCAATCTTTTTATTTTTCTTTATTTGCGTGCTCTCGATAACAACTTCTTGATGAACCGCCGCGCTACTCCAGGTTTGGATGTGTGGCGGTCTCCTCGAGATAGCGCCCTGCTCCCGGGTCGGTCATGTCTTTCGCAAGTCAACCCCATATACCTTCCCAGGCGGCACCACGGAGATTGTTAATCATAATAATGCGCGTCTGGTTGAGGTTTGGCTGGACGACTGGAAAGAGTTCTACTACAGTTTTTATCCAGGTTAACGAAACTCAACTACAAATCAAAACTCAAAACAAAAACAAAAATCTCTTATCGAATGCTTTTCACTTTTCGTCTCTCTCACACACTCTCTGCCACACTCTCTCTCTCTCTCTCTTTCTGTCTGTCTGTCTCCCTCTATATATATCGTTTGTTTCGTATATATAGATATATATATATATATATTTATCGAGCAAGTCGCACGCTCTGCATTTTGCAATTGTCTGTCTTACATACTACGCACACATATATATTATATAAAATCTAGTTAGATCAATTATTAATATGCATATATATTTATATATACTTATATATGTATATAGTTTATGGCATGGCCGTGACAAATCCAACAAACAACCAAATCACCCACAACCCCACCAAATGCTCACCCTGTATATGTATTTGTTTTGTCCATTGTTTACTTGAGTTCCTTATGTCTTCTCTTGTCCCATCTCTCTCTCTCACTCTCCTTCTCTTTAAGGTTCCGTTATGTCTATTTAGTTTCGTTGTAATTTTACTTGTTTGGTCCAACAACAAAAAAAAAATCCACCCACACTTTTCACCACTCGAAGCCTGTTAAATGTCCCCCTCCCTTTATTCACCATCAATCTCACGCATAAGCAAAAAAAAGAAAAAAATCCCCCTATTTTGAAGCTCGTATTGTTCGGTATTTTTGTTTTATGGGGTATTTCGCGAAATGCCCTATAAATTTTGCACATGAATACCCCTAACATCTTGCTGACTTAGCTTAAAGCTCTTTTTTTTTACTTGGCATATTATTTTTAAGCATATATATAAAATATTTTTGTGGCATGTTTTGTATATAACGGTATTTTGTGTCCTAGTTTAAAAGCTTTGTACAGTCTTTTTGTTGCTCAGCTGCTTGCACATTTAATCCCCTCACAGCTTGTAAAAAGCCTTTAACAAACACGAATGTAGCTTCCAGAAGAAAGAAAAAAAAAACACCTACACTTACACTAACATTGATGTTCTACACCAATTTCCCTGAAAGCTTACCTAACCAGGAAAAACCCCTATTTTTTTTTCTCTACCGCCTTTGCAACTTTAGGCGCTCGCAAAGCTTCTGCTGGAGATGTCAGCGATCGCAAAGCTCTGCGCGATCGATTGCAATGCAAGAGCTTCCGCTGGTATCTGGAGAACGTTTATCCGGAAAGCTTAATGCCACTGGACTACTACTATCTGGGCGAGGTAGGCTTTCGAGTAATAGGGGAGTGCCAGTATTAATTTATTTATACATATTTATAGATACGCAATGCAGAGACTGAAACCTGCCTGGACACCATGGGTCGCAAATATAACGAAAAGGTGGGCAGCAGCTATTGCCACGGTCTCGGCGGCAATCAGGTGTTCGCCTATACGAAACGGCAACAGATCATGTCCGACGATCTGTGCCTGGACGCGGCCAGCTCCAGTGGGCCAGTGAATATGGTGCGCTGCCACAATATGGGCGGCAATCAGGAATGGGTATACGATGCGGAGGTAAAGTCACGCTCGGATATTAATTCAATAACAACGCAGAACTAAACGAATAACTTATTGCAGGAGAAATGGATACGACACACGAATACGGGCCAGTGCTTGCAGCGTGCCACGCGAGATGATGCCAGCACGCCGCTGCTGCGGCCCTGCAACTATTCCAAGGGGCAGCAGTGGCTGATGGAGTCCAAGTTCAAGTGGCAGGCGCACTAGCTAGCCAGCTAAACGGATTAACTAAAACTAAACTTAGAACTTCCAATATGTGTTTAACTGTTAACTAGGTTGCCAGCAGGAGGAGAGGATGAAAACAGGAGCATGATAAAAAGCAGGCGTTAGGAGCCAGGCGTAGGATAAGGAGAAGGAGCTGAGTTACTAGCAAGGATTTCAAGCATTTTTTTCTCCTCTGTTAAATTTATTCACTAAGTTTTAGTCTAAGATGATAGTTTTTTCTGTATCTGTGTGCGTGTGTCGCCGACTGTCTTCCCAATTGATGTGCGTGCGTGCGTGTGTGTGTTTCTGTGTGTATAGATGTATACATAAGTGCTCATTTGCATATATATATATATATATATATATACATATGTATGTGTGCGTTTAGTTTTATGTACCATAATGCATAGATTTGTAATATATACGTATACATATTTACCTAGCCCCGACCAAGTACCAACAAATTGGCATTTAAATGACAATGTGCTTCACAAGGAATACAACAACAAAAAGAAAAGAACTAACTAACTAACTACAACTAATATGTGTCATAGCAGAACGACTAAACCAAGTTAAACATACACCCACATATATAATATATGCTTAAAAGCAGAGCAGCCCGGGCCACATTCCCCTAGCTCTAATAACTATCGGGCGTTGTGTTGTAACACATATATATATATATATATTTATATATATATATGTATTGATACATTAAAGATTTAAGTTTATTAACTTTGTTAATTTCGACCCGCTTCGCTTTGTACCAAATGATAAAAATCTAATTCTTGTTAAAAATCAAAAATGCGCTGCATTTCCATATCATAAACAACAACAAAAATGCTTCTAAAAAAAAATCATAATCATAAACAAACAAAAATTCTTTCCAAAAACATGAAACAAAAATTTAAATAAAATGCACGCATATCATAAAACAGTGTAAAAAAAAAAAAGAAAATATTTAATTAAGGCCCAAACATATACATATATCACATATATTTATGGATGATATGCATATACGTATAAAAAATGTACATAATTTAGAGAGTAGCTATTAAAAATATACATTTAAATGAATTATTTATATTTATATATATTATGTGTGTGTATGCGAAAATTGTACTATAAATTGCATTTAGTATAAGGTATTTCTCTAAGTTCGAATTTAGAGTTTAGACTTAGTCGAAAGTTTTGCATCAACTAAAACGTAGCTCCAAAAAGAAAAAAAACACCAACAGCTCTTAAAAAAAAAAAACAACTAAAAACAAATTGTGCTCAAATTTTACGCTATTTTTGCTGTTGTGTAAATATTTAAACATGTATTCAAAAGTCTAACCTGATCTAAAAATGATATCCCAAAATATCCACCCACACACACACACATATATATATATATATTTATATATACACAACAAATCTATAAAAGCCAAGTAAAACGTTTTAGCTAAATTAATTTTAAAAAGAAAACCATATACATATATAGTAATAGAGACGATATATATATATACATATATATATATATATATATGTATATATATATACACATGGTGACGGTGCAATTTTAATTTTAGCCTTAACTTTAGCTAAACCAGATCCAATCATGCAACGACTGGCGACAGGCTGGACGACATCCAAAATCTCCTATTTAGTTTAGCTAAATATTATTCGTAATTCTTTCGTTTGTTTGTAAACTCTATCCAAAAGTAACAAGAGAAACTTCAAGCCACCAAGTCGCAAGATGTCATTTTTTTTGTTCAATTAGAAACTTTTTAAATTTTATAAATAAAACTGATGGAAACGAATGAAAAACTATAAAAAAAAAAACAAAATAAATTCCAAGTGTTGTGAAAAGCTTTGCTGCTCTAATATTTATTTGGCATTTAACAACACTGGCCACAACTGACAGCTAATTCTATCCAAACCCACCAAAGAATTTCGAATAGAAGAAATCGCACGAATCCTGCTAAAACTAATTTTAGCATGTCTAACATTGCCTTGGCTCAAGATATCTTATTGATATATATAAGCAATATTATCGGACCACAATATCATCTAGTAACTCTACTTTAGTCCTAAATATGTATGCTTTAGGTCTAGAAACGTAACCCAATATGCACATTTATTGGCAAATTTTACTCAACTGCAAGGGTAGTCGACTTAGCGATGCCCTATTATTGGATCTTATGTGCAGATAAGTATTTAAAATGGCACATGATTTGCCCCCTGGAAATAGTGTTATCTTTTATCGATCTCAATGCAATATGCAATAGAGCCGAATTGGTAATACTCTATTGAAGAGTTTGCATAGAGAAATAAGATTCAACCTGACAGACCGATAAGTCGTTAACTCAATATCAGGGTATTGAGGATATCAGTAATCAATCTGAAGACAACCCTTTGACCACTTTACGTTGGGTACAGGGTATATTGAAAATATCGGTACAATCTCCTACCAATTTACATTGATTACAGGGTATCATGAAAATATCACTTTTACCATCTACTGGAGTAAAAAATCATTTTTATTTTTGTTTTCTTTTTTTTTTGTTTTTCACCTTATGCTTTTTAGATAAAGCATAACAGCTCTTTCGACCGGCGCGGCGCAAACCACAGAAAATTGTGTGTTGTCTATAAAACTACGGAAACTTTAAACGTAACGGAGCATTGAAATCCCATAAGCCATTTACTGTTCCTTGGTCTCACGCAGACGACGCACAGCAGAGCGCACGGAGGCGGCGGCCGTTGTGGAATAGACCCAGGCACCGCCGGCAACGGTGCGCTTGCAGCGTTTGCACGACCAGATGCCCACCACGGAGCGCTTCATGGAGTCCTAGAAGATGCGTTTGATTAGTATTTGAATTGTGAAATCGGGTTGCCCCGCCTGCTGCTGCTTACCTTGCCACAGAACGAGCAGGTATATTTGCTGTGCTGGGTGATTTCCATTTTCTTGACCATCTTACGGAGCGAGGCACCATAACGGGTACCATATTTACCAACGATTCCAACCTTCTTGGTGCGCTTGGCCTGTGTGTGTGGAGGGGGAAAAGAAATGAAGAGTTTAGTAGAAAACAATACACAATTGGCGCAACGTCGCTTTGTGCGTTTCAAAAGCGATTTAAACAGTAAATTGTTTGAGCAACTAATAGCAGACGGTTTGCTTGTTCGTTTAAACGCCTCTTTGGTGCTCAAAAAACAACGATTGCCTAAATATTTCCCGATTTTTATACATTCGTACCATTTTTAAGTTGTTGATTTGTCAAAAAATTCAACAGGAAAGAGACGGCCTGTCAATGCCATGGCGTGAACTTGGCTGCGGTGGCCAGCAGCAAGCGGACGAAAGCTAAGAGCTATAATAATCGTAAAGGCGGCAAATAATTATATATTACAAAAATGCATAAAAGGTGTACGAAAATAACAATTTAACAGGAAAATGGTTGCTTTAGCTGCTTAAATATTAAAAGTAAAATAAATAACATCGAATGTGCCATGTTTTAGCTGTCAAACGCAAAGTCAATCAACCAAAATGCCATTCACACGTTTACGTTTTCGTCAGCTGTTGTGGCAAAATGCGTTTGTTGTTACCCTGCCAGTGCTGTCCAATGTGCGGTTGTGATAAAACAATAAAAAAAGAAAGAAAAGAAACACAAACGAATTTACATTGAGGCATTATAATATTAGTGCGCACTTTGAGAGCAACGGCCGTCAACATTTTGTCACGACTAAAGCGCCCCATTCAGCGCACACTGTTGAAAGTGCCGACGACAGGCAATAGCAACAATATGCACAGCTGTACGCTACTGCAGGATGAGGCCAACTATCAGCCGGACACGCTGGATCTCAATACAGATGCGAAGGCGGCGGCCTATTGGTTTCCCTGTTTCCGTGAGCTGGTAAACAAATTCGCCAAACAGGCGGCCAGCAGCCAACGGGACGATGACAGCGCCGAACAGCGTGCGGCACAGTTTCAGGCCGCATATTTGCGCCAGCTGGAGGAGCATCAGAATAACATAGCCAACAATAGCGGCAAGGTGGTCCTGGGCACCAGCGAGCTGCTCAAGCTGAACGAGACTATGCTGCGACGCTTTGGCTTCACGGATCCCTGGCTGCGCCAGAAGCAGCAGGAGAACGCCTCGGCCAAGGCGCGTCTAAAGCAGCGTCTGCAGGAGATCGATGCCATTGAGAACGAGGATGCGCGCTGGACGGAACTGGTGCGCGGCGTGCTGGCGGGCAACATGTTCGATTGGGGCGCCCAGGCAATAGCCAGCATCTTGGAGCAGGATAGCAATTTTGGATTGCATGCGGCACTGGAGCGCATCGAACAGCGTCCCTGGCTGCTGGACAATCTGGACGCATGGCTGCAGCGCATGCACATCACGGCCGCCCAGCCGCCACACAAATGCGCCGTCATCTTTGTGGACAACAGCGGCGTCGATGTGGTGCTCGGCGTGCTGCCCTTTGTACGCGAGTTGCTCAGGCGCGGCACCAAGGTGCTGCTCTGTGCCAACAGTGAACCCTCGCTAAATGATGTAACCAGCCGCGAGCTGAGCGCGCTGCTGGACGATTGCGCCTGCCAGTGCAGCATTTTGGATAGCGCCTGGCGCTCCCACCGACTGCTGGTCTATGCGAACGGCCAGAGCGGTCCCTGCCTGGACATGCGCACGCTGCCGCGCGAACTGTGCGATGCTATAGCTGCCAATGAGACTGATCTGCTTGTCATCGAGGGCATGGGCCGGGCGCTGCACACCAATCTGAATGCGCAGTTCGCCTGCGAGACCCTCAAGCTGGCCGTGGTCAAGAATCGCTGGCTGGCCAAGTATCTCGGCGGCGACAAGATGTTTGCGGTCATTTGCAAGTACGAGCACAGCTAGTGCCGGGCCCAGACGATTCATTTGTTATGCAATGCATTGTTTTCTTTTCTTTTTTCCAATTATTGTTATTGTTTAAACCGAAGAAAGAAACAGCAAAGAAAAAGCAAGATAAATATGAGATTCAGCTTGTCGTGTCGGGTTGTCGCTAGTTAAGACTGTGGTTAGTGGTGCGTCTGTTCTATAGATTCTATAGGGACAGCAACAGAACTGTAAAACTTATTAAATTTTCTAAAGTAATTAACAAACAAGAATGCGTTTAATATTAAAGCAAAACAAACGACTTCAAATGTCATAGCCATAAAATGTACAAATTGAACAATTCGTAATTAATCAATTATGCTGTCAATTTATTGTAATTGCATTTGTTTATTTAACTTTATTGTTTATAAGCCAAGTTATATGTCAATTATTTTGTGAGTCTAGCTTCTATGGCGACTTATTGCTTATACACACACGCACACACGCACACACACGCATAGTTTGCTTTTTAATTATGAAAATTATAAATAACAATGCCTTTTGTTTATCAAGCGCAGCTACCATTAAACATTTTATCGGTCATATGGTTATAAATTAGCCAACTGATAAGCAGCCAGCACCACATTGGATTAAAGCTCTATGTCGATAAGACACGAAACGCTTTGTTTCTCTGTTTGTCTCTCTGTCTGTCTGTCTGTTTGTTTATATAGACGTGATAAAATGTCTGTGGCCCTAGGCCCATTTGAATAGTTGTGATTCGCACTTGCCGCTGCTGCTTTTTGCCCACTCATTTCATTTTATTTTAGTTATTTATCTGCCATATATCGCTTATCTGCTGCCACTTTACATCATGATGTACGGCGCCTGACTGATAAGCGGCCTTTGCCGGAAAACTTTCAAGTGCGACTAAACCTCGTCAAGATGGTGCTTATCTCTCAGCTGAATATAATATGTATAT